GTGGCCCTGCCGGGCAGTGTGGGCTCAGGCAGGGCGGCCACGTGTCGGGAAGGAAGGCGGCATGAGCGACTGACCAGCCCTCCTAGCCTCGGGACTTGCTGGACGTCGGACTCCCCGCGCCGACCCAGGAGGCTGCTCTGTGGGCCTGCGGGTGGCGCCTCTTGGGGCCTCAGACCAAAGTGGACATGTGGCAGGGGGACGCCCAGAGTTGAGGGCGCAGAGTGGCCACTCCTTCCGAGAACGCACAGGACTGGGGGGCCAGAGTCTTTCCAGGGCTCTTTTGGGGGCCGGAGGCAGCCTCTGGAGGGGCAGCAGGTGGGCGGCCCCAGGAGGCTGCTGGCCTGTGGGCGGGAAGAGCGGGGTGTGGAGCTGGGGTGTGGAGCTGGGGGCCCTTGGGCTGGGAACCGCCGTTCCCCAGGCTGTCACCCCTGTTTCTCTGCAGAGACTGGTACAAGCGCAACTTCGCCATCACCTTCTTCATGGGAAGAGTGGCGCTGGAGAGGATGTGGAGCAGGCTGGGCTGGTGGCCGAGGAGGGCCGGCCCCTAGGCAGCCCGGCCCTGCTGGCCAGGGCCACGGGGCTGGAGGGCAGCCGCGCGTGGCTGGAGTCAGCGCACCGTGAAGGGGGCACAGAGGGCCACTTGCCCAGCGTGGCCGTGCCAGCGGCAGGGCGGCCTCGGTGTCCGGTGGGGCCCCGCAGCGTGCTCCCCGGACACCCCCGCCTAACGGCGGCAGAGTTGGGGTGGCCGGGGGCTGGGAGCTCCTCGCCTGGCGCCCAAGGCCGGGTCCTGGCCTCGCAGGGGCCGGTGGGCCACGGTGTGGGCACCTGTCCGCCCAGGGCAGGCGCGGCACCTGGAGCTCACCAAAAGCCACTTGGCAACAGTTTTATCCCAAAATGAGGGGTGATGGGAGTCACCAGACGGGGTTCTTCAGGGCGCCCCCTGGTGGCGCAGTGGGTTAATGTGAAGCACTGTGAAGCTGTCACAGCCACTGCAACAAGAATATGATCCCCGCCTGGGAGTGACCAGACCTCCCCTGTCCCCCGCTGCCCCCTCAGCAGTGCACTTCAATGCCTGTCCTGCTCCCCCCTCTGCCGCTGGTGAGTCCTCTCCCCCCACACCTCTGGCCTGTACCCCAGTTCTGTATGCATAAATAATAAATCTATTGAAAAAAATAGGACTGGCTCTTCAGCGGCTTATGCACTGGAGCTGAAAGTGCTCCCCAAGAGGTTCAGAGCCAGGGAGCCCCGCCGGCAGGGTGGCTGCGGCCTGTGGGTGAAGCAGGCGGGCACGGGAGCTCCCTGGCTGCGCATCCCAGCAAGAAGCCGCGGCCGGCCAGCCCCGGGCGGCCCCTG